CCTTTTGGGGACAGTGGGGGAGCGCAGCCGGGACGAGGGCTCTGCTCGGGCTGGAGATCACGTTTTCTGTGCAGGCAGATGCTCCGGCTTCCCACCGAAAGCTATCGTGCAGTCCTGGGACACCACTTTCTGTTGCAGACACACACGCACACGCACACGTGGTAAATTGCATCTTTTTGATAATTAGTGCCAATCATCTCCCCGGTTGTTCGGACAGACGGAGCCGCCTGGCGTCTGCGCAAAGAAACGACAAGCCCGTGTCCGGCCGGACACCCGCCCGCCGCCCCGGTTCATCCCCGCAACCGCCCGCTCCTGCTCTCAGCAAACAATCACAGCCCTCGGCCAAAATCTCCCCGTGCTGATGGTGGTCCGGAGCAGGCTGGGGACTGCTGGGACCCTGAGGGCTGGAGTGCTCTGGCGTCCGGCACGGACCCGAGCTACAGGGGGGTTTCGTTGCACCACGACACTTAACACTCCAGGGACGCCATGGCCATCCATGTCCAGCTGACCCTCTCCCCAGCCACAGAGTGTGATCTAGACGGGGAAACATTCTCAACAGATGGGTTTGGGTTTTTTTCCACAAGTCTGTGACTAGGTAGCAATAACATCGGCTCATCCCATGGGATCTCCCGCTGGCTCCCTGCACGCATGCATAGTGCCAGGCGGGTGCCCTGCCCATCTCCCTGGGCACGGGGACTGGCAGAGACCCAGGGCTTGCGCGTTTCTTGTGGACACTCAAGCAAGAGCTGTTGTCCCTGGGCCAGGGGAGGAAAAGCCCCAAGGGGAGAAGTTCACCACTAATGCCTGCAAATAACGTGCTCCAGGAAAGCCTGAACTGGATCCAAGCTCTCTTCCCGCTGGTCCATCTCCAGCGCCAGCAGCCAGACTATGCCCCCGTCCTTGAACCCTGCAGCTCCCGGTGTCGGCATGGGCATGGGCTGTGCCAGGGCCGTGCCATGACACAGGCGTCTCCTGGGGTCCAGGGGTGGCTTTCAAACAGGTTGTGACAGAGCCATGGTCCTGGAAAGGTGAACGGGAGCCCCAGGGCCAGGCTGTGTTTGTTTATCCTGGTGATGGAGCACACAACAGCAAAACAAAAGGTCAGACCCTGTTGCCCTGGGAGATGGTTTTTGAAGCTGCCTACCATCCTGCTGGGGCTTGGATGGAGCAGCCCCGGCACTTGTCATGTCAAGTTATTTTTGTAATTTTGGCTGGTAATAGGTCTGAAGCAGCCTCCCAGACGCTGTGAGCTTTGGGGATATACTGATAGAGGACCAGAAGGACCCTAAACACACTGAGAGAGGAGCACCCAGCCTCAGGGCTTCCAAGGCGGATCCCTGTCCCGCAGCTCCTGCGGCCAGCCGGACCCCAACCCGCCTCCTTTGTCCGAAGGGCCAGGCACACATGGCTCCTCCAGGCATCCCGAAAGGTGGGGGGAGTCTGATCCAAACTTCCTTTACCTTTGGCCCATCTGAGTAATGAACAGACACAAACTTCTTCAAGCCTTGGCCAGGTTTAAGGCGGATGCTTTGAGCTCACTGCTGGCAAGGGTGGACTGAGCACTGTCAGCAAGTGCTGCCAGGGAGGGAGGGCAGGCTCCCACCGGCCCCTTGCAGGCTGGTCCCGGCTGACTCTGCTTTTATTCCTGACCCTCTTTGCTTGAGCTGAACCGATAAATGTCACCGTCAACTCCAAACACAGCCTTGCCCAGCTTGGGGGGGAGGCAGGGTTGAGTGGCATGGAGATGGAGAGCGGGGCTGTGCCCAGGAGTCCCGGCTGATCTGCCTCGTCCATCGCTGGACCTCAAAGCCTGACGTGGCAAAAATCACCAGTCTCCTCCTTTTTGCGAGTGGGGAAGCTGAGGCACGCAACCGCACAATGCCCAGGCTGGAAGCACACAGGGAGCCTGCCAAGAAGCAGTGAGACAAGCCAGGAGCCCTGATTCAAGGTGTGAGAGTATTCCTGTCCCACCCCAGCAGCTGCATCTCACGCTAAGGGTCAGGTGCATCATACCAGTGCCTTTGCCTCCACACAAAAGCCTCGAATCATCCCTGCAGCTAGGCACCTTGGGGCTTTTCCTCCCTCTGGCAGGAGCAGGTAGATGGGACATGGCCTGATCTTGGAGGAAAGGCACCTCTTCTCTGGGCATGGGACCAGCAGGGAATAAAAACCGCGCATATCAGCCCTTGTCTTGCTGCTTCTGGTTGTCAGCACAAGGAGCTTTTGTGTTTACCCAGACTCAAGGGCAATCGCCCGTCACTAACAACACAATATCCCTCGGCCCCGCTGCCCTGAGCCTGGCGAGGAAGCAGGACGGAGCCGGCGGGAGGGCAGTGCTGCCAAGGAAGAACAAGCAGCCCCCAGGACGTCAGGACAGAGGTACAAGATCTGTTGAGTTGGGCTTGTGGCCACACATGTGGTCATTGGCCTGAGCTGTGCTGGGGACAGCATCAGGGCCCTCTTTATGGGCTTAGACCTGTGATTGAGCAGCTCAGGCTTGGCTCAGGAGACACCATCAAGGGTCTGATGGCAGCTTTGCGTGCCCAGCGCCCGGGAAGTGAGATGGACACTCCTGGTGCTGGGTGTGTGGTGGCTGGCATGTTGGCTCCCTGGTTGGTGACTCAGTTTCCCCATCTGTAAAATCCAGTTTCTTGGACTTTGAACTCTGTCCAGCTCTGAAGGAGGACCCCGACGAGCAGTCTCAGGGTGGGGGGGTGGAGGGCTTGCTTCCACCAAGCGGATCTCTGCTGCCAGAGACACAAGGCACAACCACTTTGGGGAAGAAGGTCACAAAGCTGTTCCCAAGCCCCAAACCCAGCAGAAATTGGATTCCCTCCATATTCACACTCATGTATTTGCATTTGATAGCTCTGCAAGTATTCAGGGGATGATTTTTAGACAATTGTGTTATTTCAGCTGTGGTTTGGGGAAGCATTACTTTTGCAGGCAGCATAGAGCACGTGATACCAGGCAATCATGGGAGTCAGGGCGATCGAGGTGGAGCTGTGGCTTGCAAACAACTCAGAACAGCCAAGTGTGTCCATTATAATAATAATTATAATCACATTTAAAGTAAAGTTAACTTCTGGCTCTCCAGATACTTTAATAAGGCCACATTTCTCTTAACATTTCTTTTACCAGCTTCTGGCTGTGTGCTATGAGCTGTGCTCCAGCCAGCCCCTGCAGAGCACGCAGCAGATCCAGGCTGTCATCTCTGCCTTTTGGAGAACTCATTCCTTATGGTTTTAGCAGAGGGAGAGTGGGCAAAAGAGCAGTTGTGGTTCTCATGGTGGCTCTCGTGGCTGAAAAAATTGTTTGTGTAGGTTGAATGCGTCCTTCAGAGCAGTACCTCTCTCCTTCTTCCTGACAAGTTGTTGGCCGTTTCAGAAATAACTTAATTTATTTGGATGGGGAGGGGGCTGCCCTTAGCAAAGACACGCGCTGGCCAAGTGTGACATCTGACCCAGCTGAGAGTGGAGGAATATTCATCCTCAGTGTCTCAAGTGTTAGCATGAACTGAGCATGGTTTGGAGGGATAAGGCTTACAGAAAATAGGGTTAAGAAGTGTTAAAGGCCTGAGAGAAGCCACTAATCTCAGGAACCAGAGAGGTGGAGATGCCATCCAATGTGCTCACACACAGGGCTCTCCTTTACACATAAATCCTCAGGCCAGATCTGGCATCAGCCAAGCTGATGGACCTTTTGGCTGGTTCCTCCAGCTGCAGATGCCGCTTGCCAACTCTTTCATTTTTGTGCCATGGTCCCTGTTATTCTGAGCACGTAATGAGCTGGCAGGGCTACGACCTGGTCTCTTGCATTGGAGTGAATCCAGACCAGCACCAACACCTTGCCCCTGGGTAGACAGCAAGCACCTGAGCTCAGAGCATGTCCCCAGAGATGGCAGCAGGCAGGGACAGTAACAGTCCTGCTGCTTCCCCCAAACAGGGACAAGAGATTTGTCATGGACTATGGAGACGAGCCAGCAAAAGGAGAAGCTTCTGAAAACCATCTACACCCTCCAGCTGAAGTCAATTGCCACACTCCAAACAGCCAGCCCGCTGCTGAGCAGCCAGCTGAGCAGCCAGTGTGGCATGGGCATGGTGACGCAGCACCAAGTCCACCAGCTGGCGGACAAGGCCAAAAGCCTCTGTGGAGACCTGGACAACATTAAGAACCTCCTCCACTATTGCCAGGATGACCTGGTCCGGCGGATCCCCAACCCCACTGGCAGCCGCTATGGGGGAGTAAGTGGAATCCATTGCTCCCTGGATGGCTCCATCTATGTGACAGCCGAGAGCGCTCCCTGGGTCCACGTCCTCAGCAGCAGAGGCCAAACGCTGCAGTCCCTGCCCTGCCGGCAAATGGGGAAGGAAAGCAGAACTTTCTTGCCAGAAGATGTGACTGTGACTCAGACGGGAATGGTAGCTGTAGCCGACATGATGAATGGAGCCATCTGGGTCTTCAACCCTCACACCAGTCTCTCCAAGGGGGAATGGATAAAGATCAGAAAGGTTGGTTCCCCCAGGGGTATTGGAGTGGACTCCATGGGCAAGATCTTGGTAGCAGACTATGCACAAGGCCAAGTCCACAGCTTTGCTCTGGACCATGCCTTCAAGACACTCAATATCCACTCAGTCCCCGACCTGCTGGGACCTCGCTACATCAGTCCAGCGCCCCATGGAGGCTTTGTGGTAAGTGAGGAGTGTGGAGACGTCAAGGTCTTCATGAGCAGCCGTAAGCTCCTCTGCTCCCTCAGCAGCAAATACGGACACCGGTTTGGCAACCCAGCTGGGGTCTGCGTTGACGTGGATGGCAGCATCCTGGTGGCAGATGAGCAGCGCCGTACAGTCCACTTGTTCCCAGAGCGTGGGGCTCCGGTCTGCCTGGTGTCTGCAGGGCTGCGGAGGCCTGCCGGCGTGGCTTGCTCCTCCTTCGGGCACCTCTTTGTGGCAGATGCAGGGGAGAACTGTGTCAAAGTCTTTAAGTACCGTGTGAGACCCCCTTACAGCCCCACCAACCCTGGGGCACCATGTGGTGACCCCAGCCTAACACCCAGGAGGGGACTGGGGCTGGTTCCACTGCAACCCCGCTGAGCTTTGGGTCTGTTGGTGGGCCACGAGCTCCACTGCTCCCATAGCCAGGCATTGTCCCCATACTCGACTGCCTTATTGCCCTCCAGCTTCTCCAGATGGCAGGAGCAAGGACATGACCAGCTCTGAGTTTCCTGGACCCACCAGAGTAGTTAAAGGAGGACCGAGCTACTCACAATTGGCCACGCATTGGTGCCCTGGCAAACTTGTTATCGCCACGCCCTTGAATCCTTGTGTGTTTTTGCAAAGATAATATAATTATTTCTCTTCCCTGCACACTGTTTTTATGTGGCCATGGTTCCACCTTTCTGATGCCAGAGTATGACTGGAGGGATAAGGCCAGGCCGGAGCTGGCAGCCATGGTCTATCTGGCACGCTGGGTTTGCAGCAGACTTCAGGAGAACGGTAAAATGAATGTAACCCATTCTGTGCTGCATTCCTGACCTCTACAGGGAAGCAACAACTACTGCATGGAGTAAATTGCATGTGGGCATGCACAATGGCTCACACCAACCCACGTCCTGGGGCTGAGCCTGTCCTGCCGTCCTGTTCTCCCCTGGAGAGGAGGGCTCAGGGGGCAGGCAGCTTTATCAGCAGAGGCCAGGGGAAAGCGGGCAGGGTGTGGTGGCAAAGGGAAGGGCGTTTTCTTTCCTTTCCCCCCTCCAGCCCTCAGCACAGGCATGGCACTGTATAACTCCTCAGCCTCTGCCCATGTCTGAGACCCGAATCCAGTCACCACCTCTCATCCCAAACGAACCCCAGAGAAGACCCTTTCTCCCTCCTGGCCCTGGAGCAAGTGCTAACAGCGATGGACACCCTGTGGTGCCCTCCCAGACCCCC